GCCCTTAAAGGGGAAAGGTTGCCTACCCCTGATCTAGTCTGATCAGGAGTTGGCACACTTGGTGGCATTTTCATCAATCCCAATAAACCTATCACTCACCTCTGATTTCTATTTTTTACATGTGAACCACACTGTTACTTTGGGAGTTTTTTTTTAATTTAATGATGGAAATACCAACTTCTTAAGATACCCCAGAACTGAAAAAATGCATCCTAAGTGGCTCCTCAAACAGCCCAGATATGGTGGCGCCCAAATGCTTTGCCTCCCGCTTCAGAGAGTCATCCAGCCTTTCTTCCTTCATTATGCTATTGTATTACTTGCATACCCTAATAGCAAACTATCAAGTATGTCATCCATCTTACAAGTTGGTGAGAAAAGGAGATAGATTACATAGCTTGCCATTTTGTAACATCTCACATTCCTAGAACCTGCTAGATAATTATCACACATCTGGCAATCCATATTTCCCGTAATATTTTGCAACAGGCAGCACCACTTGGTTAGTAAAGATGCAATTCCCAATTGGGTGAAGGATCTGGAACTGGCAGCTTGCATCTGATTCCTACAGGAGGGCTGAGGGGACTGCATTATGGAGGAGCTTCAATCTTTCCTTGGGGAAACAGAATGTTAACTAGTTCATTTCAAGTCAGTAACCAAACCTAACACAATGATGCAATACTGCTGGTTTATTGCTCTCTTAATGAGATGCTGAAGTACAGTTAAAGCAGCAGCCTTTAACACTGTTTCCTATCACAACACCCTTGGGAGAGTGGAATTGCTCCAGTTGTCACAATTGCCATTTTATAGATATGAAAGTGTGGCCCACAGAGACTAACCAGACTTTCACGTGGCTGATTACTTCTGGTTTATCCCACTACAAGAGCAGGACTTCTATTACAATCATCTGGCAATTCAGCCAATATACATCTTGAAAAGCAACTAAGCCATGAGCACTTCTGGGAAGGCACTCAGTATTTAAAAGAGGGCTTATACATCATAGTATAGCCTGGAAACGTTACTTTTCAACTCATGGAATACCCCAACATTGCTAAAGAATTAATGCTTCCAGACTCTGAACACAATTGCATTCACATGATCCCAAGTTCAGATCTCAGCATCTCTTACATATTTCAGAAACTGGGCTGGAAAAACACCTCTTCACAGCTTCTAACAGAGCTACTGCCAGACGAGCATGAACTGCATTGGATTGGCTGGCCTCATTTGTATGGGCCTTTTCAGACTGCCAGAAATAGTGCAAATTGAGTCCACTTTAAGGGTTAGGGTTAGGGTTAGGGTTAGGGAATCATGGGAACTGTATTTTATTGTGGCACCAGAGCTCTCTGATACAGAAGGCTCAATGTCTCAGGAAAAAAAACAATTCCCATGATTCCCTAGCACTAACCCTAACCCTTAAAGTGGACTCAGTTTGCACTATTTCTGGTAGTCTGCAAAGGCCCTATGTTACACTAAAAGCATGTTTATGTGATACAAAAAAGCAGCAACAAACGACCCAACATGCTTCTCCTCTCAAGCTGTGATGAGGTATTTGGAAGATTCTTTTAGCTAACCAGGGTTGCCTGTATCATCATTTCAAAAACCACATTTTTTAGATGGGTTGTTTAAAATTAAGGCCAACAGCACTCCCCAAAGTGCCAATTGTCTCTTTTCTGTGGTGCTATAGCCTTAGAACTGTGATGTTATAGTAATCTACCTGTATACTTCTCTACTGCGCTCCCAGAATGATGTCTGTTTTGAGAACGATGTGTGTTACAAGATTGTTTTGAGAATACTGTTTGAGAATATTAAGACAAAGATAAAGGTATTCTCTGCGGACAAGGTTGACAAGTCGTGTCCTACCATAGGGTGTGGTGTTCATCTCCGCTACAAAGTTAGCCAGTGTTGTCAGAGACTACTCTGTGCTCATGTGGCCAGCATGGTTGCACAGAACGCTGTTTACCTTCCCACTGAGAAGTGGTACCTATTTATCTACTTGCATTTGCATGCTTTCAAACTGCTAGGTTCGACTAGGGATGGGAGCTCACTCCGTCACGTGAAGCCTAGGCCTTGAACTTCCGAATTTCCGATCTTGCAATCAACAGAGTCAGCATTTTAACCACTTGAGCCACTGCATCCCTTTGAGAATATTAATTGTCCCTCAAATTTAGGGGTGGGAATAGAGCTTATGGTTAACAAATAATATAATAATTTATTTGTATCCCACCTCTCTGTAAAACACAATTGGGGCGGCTTACATGATAAAACAAACAATCCCATCCCCCAATAGCCCCCCC